ATAGCCGGCCTGGGTGAGGTCCCAAAAAATAGGAACACCATTGACCAATGACAGATTGACACACACGTCACACACACGACTCATTTAATGTTAGGCATATTACTATAATCGTGGGTGGGGGAAGTAGGCTAAAAATATTTTTAAATATATACCCGTCTCTATTTAAAATCGTATAATACTGGTGCTTAAGTGTAAGTAGACTTGTAATTTATGATGACTATTAAAATTATAGTTACATTTATAATTCGAATCTTTTTTAAATTCTTTTTTCTTCACGAACGGAAAATTCTAAGGGAAATCACTCTGGTTTTCTAATATAATTAACTTTCAGTTTCGCATTTTTTTACTTCGTTTTTGCAAGATAGACTTACAGATTCCTAAAATACTAAGGATGCCGCTCTTGATTAGATTTTAGGAATTGTAAGTAATTGCATTTTCAACTTTTGTCCTTTCCATCTTTTTTATGATCCTTTTTTTCGGAAGGTTGTTCATTATTTTGTGGATTTTAAAAGCATTTTGATTTAATGGAGGATTCCGAATCAAAATTAATTCTAATAATAATGTAATAATTCGACTAAAATTCATTTTCAAGTAAAACTATTAATAAATTATTAGAAGTATGTATTATATAGGGCTTGGCTTAATTGAAATCCTGTTTATGTTTGTGCCATTTTCAGATTTATAATTTTCCAACTAACCACACTGGTGCCACTTTTGGAATCAGCAGCAGTGTCAGTGGGCAGCAGGTCCAATTTACAACCAAAGACCAAAGGCTAAAGGCTCAGCCTCAAAATATCAGTATTATCATTGTTATCATAAACACCGAGTTTGATCGCATGCCTGCTGGTTTGAATATTTTCCCCAGTTCTGATTATTCTAGGCACTAGGAATTGTAAATATTAGCCTATAACTATAATTCATTAAGAATAATAAAGTCTTTTTCAGACCTTGCATTGATACCCAGTGGAGTACCTTGAATTTAGAATAAATCTAAAGCCACCTGAGATGAACTCCCAAAATATTGTCCCACTATAATTATATAATATTATATTGGACTTTGTTAAAAAAAATAATATAAATGGCTTCTAGGGTCCTTTGCCCTCTTCACCCCCAGCTAATAGTTAATACAATATTCCCAGTTTCCACACCAAAAAATATGGAAAGAATAAATATACATAGAAACAAGTCTGACATTTGTGTAATGACATGTATGATATTGATATGGTCATGAAATTACTGTTTATTATTATTAATACATGGGTAAGGATAAGCAACCTTTTTGCATAGAGGGCAGCATTCAAATTATTTGTTCTTAGGTGGGCAGCATGATATTTTCTTATACGACTATAATACATCTTATATGTCATTAAAGTTGTCTTCAAAAGTTCATTCAGATTTAAGTTAAAAAATAAGCAGTGGAATAATTTTTAATTTTTCTATGATTATTATTATTAGTTTTCCAATTTTATGTTTATTAACTTTCAAAGGCTTTTATGTTTACAGATAATCATTCCCAATTTGTACATTATATTATTTATATGAAGGACTTTCAGGCTGCTTAAACATTTTTGCAGGCCACATGTGGCCTCTGGGTCGCAGGTTCCCAACCTCTGTATTAAATTATTTCAAATGAATTTGTCAGTTTCACAAAGGATGAAAGGTGAAGAGGGGAGAATTAGGGGTAGGGGGAAGCCCAGGGAGATTTGGGGGTGGAGACCATGGGGATCAGAGGAAATCACAATATTTGATTGGTTGTGGGGGGTGGGGTTCACCTAGTATTAAAATATGTATGTAATATAAATTAATTTTATGGATTATTTAATCTACCCGTACAGTAAATAATTTAGACATGAGTTCCTCTAACAAAATGGACTTTGAGAAGGAAGTAAAAAATGTTGTCAAGGAGCTTTGCTCTGGACGAGGCACAAGTCTCTATGGTGCACTTATTATGCTGCGTACTACACTTATCAAGTCAAGAATTGCAGTTAATCAGTTACTGAAGACTGACTTTGTGAAACTGTTGGTTCAGCTGCTGGAAGAAAAGGGCCGCCATGTTAATCACACTAAAACAACAGATATTGTGCTAAGTATATTGGCCAACTTGTGTATGGAAGAGGATTTCAGAGAAAAAGTGAGTATTAAACTTTTACTTTTATGATCTTAATAGCTACTAAACGTAGAAACAAGTTTAATTCAGTTTATTCAAACTGTTTTCAGATTACATGATTGAAAATTTAATGAATGACTAGTTTTAATTTATTAAGTAGTAATCAAATGTTTTTAATAATTTTTTTCAGATTGTTGGTTGCGATGGCCTCTCTAAGATAGGTATGAAATATTTATTACATTGTGTTTTTTAATTAGAAAATAACAGCTTTCAGTTGCAACACATGCAGTTCATTCTGATAAATGGGAATTAATATAATATCAGAAAATTATGACAGCAATTACTAATACACTGACTGATAATTTTTTTGGATAGTGAAAATAAGCTCACACTCTCTATGGACACTTGATAAAAATCTATGTTTTTTTACTTGCAGCTCAAGCTACAATGGCTTCTGAGCAAGAAAGCATCCAAAATAGGGGTATTCGGGCATTGGCCAATCTGTCACAGGACACTAATAACAGTGATATCATTGTTGGCATGGAAGTCCCAGTATTTGTGGCTAAACGTCTAATGGAGACTGAAGATCCAGAATGTCAAAGCACTTACTGCAGAGCACTGAGGCCAGTATGACAATTAGTTAAGCAAGAAAAGTGGGAATGCCTTGAGTGACTAGTGTTGTTTGATTGAAACTAATGTTGGCTCTGTGGTGCAGTGGTTATTTTGTCTGCCTCAGCTGGTAGGTTGAGCTGACAAATGGTCATCCCTCAGCTATGGGTCAAAATAGCTGGATGGAATACAGATGGTGTTCACTTATCAAATCATTGTGAGTCCTGTCCCTTTAACACCATCTTTGTCAGGCAGTTAACTTGGGGGTGAGCTGAACCCTGTGTAATAAACGATCTTGCTGGCTGCCGTCCATGGTTTGCCTTGTAAAAGTTATGTGGTGGGGTGGGTGAATATACATGGCTGTTCTTCATTTCATAAATGTTTTTTATTTTAATGTCATAATTATGTCACTTTTGATAAAATTTGTATGTACAGCGCGGTGAGCCCAGCCCTAGGCTGGGGTACCGCGCTATATAAGACGTCTTATTATTATTATTATTATTATTAATAAAAAACCCAACCGTTGAAGTTCAAAGGCAGCAGCTAACTTGGCTTGAGATTAAAAAAAAACTTGATGTTTACCATACAACTAAGGTCAAAACCCCTGTCCGCACACTATCAAAGACCTTATAAAAACATTTAAATAGAGAAAGGTACAAGTTATAAAACTCCTCACAGATTTTCGAGCCCCTAAATGGTGTGTATAACTGCAGTAAAGCCTAACTGTATGATAAACTAATAACTCCAGGCGCTTTAACTGGGCGTTTTTAACTGGAAATTGAATTATCTTATTCCAAAATTTTGTTTAGGCTGTTGGGACAAACACCGAAGGGAGTTAAAAGATTGGTTGAAGATACACAAGCAATACAGGCCCTGGCAGCTCTTCTCAAGCTGGACAACAAAAAACTCACACTCAAGAGTCTAAGAACCCTGGCAGAATTTAGTGCCGTACGGTCAGTACACACACACATTTTTATAGTTAGTTTTCAGATTTAAAATCATTTAACTGCTATCCATAAATAATGCATTAATGATGAAAATCGGAATAATTCTTTTAAAAGTTTCTATAAGAAAAGTGTTACGCACCGACTTGTATTGGGAGAAATTAATCTCTTAATTTAATTTTAATTGGCTTGTTGTAAGCAGTGCCTAACAAAGGACGATACCATAGAATCAACAATATTAAATATACGACCCAAAACAGTTTCTAGTTACAATTAATAAGATTTATTATTTCTTAAGATAATTACAAAAGAAAAGAAAATATAATTACAATCTTCAACTTACAGTATGGTAGATCTTGTACCGGTACACAGTTAACACAGTTAGAATAATGTGCCAATAAATAATGCGAAATAAACACATATGAGCACACAAATACACAAAGAATAAAACACGCCTCGTAATGTTAAGAAAATCTATCTGAAATCTCCCTCTGTCCGAGCCTGTCAATCCCTTATATAGGTGGGTCTACCGACGCCTAAGCCCTGCCTTCGACAAGCTACATGGCATTTCTAGAACCATCAGATTCATTCTACAAAACACTACTTGGAACAGATTAATTATTTTTAGTAGTTGGCGGTGTAAACAAGAAATACATCAAAAGCCTAAGCCACACCCCTTTGTGAACACAGCGTCTCATGCGGGGTCAATCATATTCTACAAAACACTACTTGGAACAGATTAATTATTTTTAGTAGTTGGCGGTGTAAACAAGAAATACATCAAAAGCCTAAGCCACACCCCTTTGTGAACACAGCGTCTCATGCGGGGTCAATCAGAGGGCACGCACGAGAAATATTATTTAAACAAGCTCTCTATAACAAAAAGTCACACTTTAATTTATTTAAATTTTAAATTTATCATCATGATTATATTGTTTTATAAGTAGGATATATTTGTCAGAGCCACTTTAGTCCATATTTTTGTTCCCTTTGAAATACACTTTTTTTCTTTTTGGCTAAAATCTAGCAGAAGCCCTAGCAAGATTTAACTTTAAAAGTGAAAATTTTTTATTTAAGTTTAAAATTAATTAAAACGTTTTTCAAAACTTACTCTTATCTTTTACTGTAATTTTTATTCACTTTTTTAAAAGTTTCCAATGTTAGCCTAATAATGACAATGTGTGATAATGATTTACTTAATTATTCCAGATACACTTTTGTCAATAAATTATTTTTCCTTTATAATGCAATATAGAGGGTTTACCTTGATAACCATTTAAATTATTTATTTAAAAAAAATTTCCAGTTGCTGTCCAAGCTTCACCGGTCAAATTCTAGCAGCTAATGTACTTGAAGAACTGGTGACTCTTGCTGATGATGACGACAGTGACACAGCATACTTCTCCCTCTCAATCGTCTTGCGGCTCTGTGACCAAGAGCATATCCGACCCGCGCTCGGCTCTGCCGGCATGATCTCCCTCCTGGTGAGGCACATGACCGGCGGGAGGAACTTTGTGAACAAAGTGCTGACACTGAATGCCCTCTGTCTGTGCACCAAGGAATCTGTCAACAGGGGTAAGATCCGGGATGCCGGAGGGCTTGAGTTGTTGGTGTCGGCACTGCAAGTGGACGACAGCGTTGGTTTGGCAGGTGGACAGTTCTCTGTCCTCTACGACAGGATCATTAGCTCACTTGTCAACTTCCTGTACAGCGATGACTGTCTGGGGAAACTCCTACAACTTGGTCTGGTCAAAGTCCTCTCGGAACACCTCATGCGGTGCTGCCAGTTCTCACTGGATAATGAGAATTTAAGAAAGGATATTTCCGTTCTGGTGGATGTGATAGAACAGCAGAAGCAAGTGGTTCAAGAGAGACCTGAAAGCAGTGGGCATATGATCAAAGATATTGAGTCTGGTACTTCTGGGAACATGCAAGCAAAGAGTTGTGATGCTATAGAACAAAATGAAGCGAAATCCCCATTCCTTACTGCCAAATGCATTGAAAATAACACTGAAAATTGTGCTTTCTTTACAAAATCATGTGAAAATAGTGACATTCATGATGTTGGTACTTATTCAGAATCTGATAATTATAGTGGTCATGATCCTGACATTGAAGGATTGGATGAGACAGAAATGGTGGATGGCAACGATGATCCCCTTATTATTGACAAAGACCGACGGACTAACAGTCAAGGTATAGTCATTGATGAAGAGATGACGGCAGATGAGACTAACAATTTGTCCTCGTCAGATGACACAGTGGACCTGCCACTGCCACCCAACTCATCTTCAAGACACACATTCAGTATCAACAGTCCGACGTATCAGGCAGAGACCTCTTGGAAACTGGAAGACTTCACTTCAGGGGTGACGTGTAAAACATTCACACCCGAGCAAGATGCCCACAGACTGAGTCCAACTGTGACATACACATCGCAGGCCTCGCCTTTCAGCCCGTTAAGTGCAGGGGCCTCTTATTACTCCCCATCTCAGTCATCCCCATCGCACAGCGTCACACATTCACCCCGCCAGTCATCATTGACGTGTTCACCTGCATCCAGCAGTGACAGTCCGAACTGGTCACTCGCCAGCTCTGAAAGCACCAGCCTGGCACATTCCAACAGAAGTTTCAGCCCCACGTACCACTCGCCGAACCGTTCACCGGCGTCGCCTGGTTATCAGAACCAGTTCAGTCCTCTCAGCAATTCTTTTCCATCTTCTCCCAGCTTGCTTTTTGATGAGCGGGAGCCAGAGAGCCCAGTCTTCAACTCACAGATGTCTCTGTTGGGTCAGACGGCCAGCCAAGATTATGCAACTCCCCCAGGAGAAAGGTCACAAAACAGAACTGAAAATGACTTATACCATTCTCAAGACGACTGTTGGGTTGATTCATCTACAAGCAGCTCAAAGTTCCAGGTAGTTCCACTCAAGACTGACTTTAGCATGCTTGTCAACCCGGTGTATTCTGCTTCAGAGGATGAGGAGGATGAATCTGAAAGTGTGAGCCATTCTCAAAGCAGTCGAACCAAAGCACCCCAGCTTCTGAGACCCTGCTCGTGGAACAGAAGTCTTGAAGTAGGCAAATCCAAAATGGACCTGCCGGAAAGTTCAGAGCATTTGGAGGAAGGGCTAACAGCTTTACTGAACAAAACCAGCCCCAGATTTGGTGAGAACTCTCTCAGTGACGACCATGAGATCCATGATAAAATTGAACATTCTTCCCAGGAATATGAACAAGAGTATCAAGTGCCCACTTCCAGACTAAAACACGCCTCAAGTCAACCATCACCTAAACGTGGAGCTGGAGAAACAAACATGGGGGCAACATGTAAAGGAAAAGCCAGAAAACGTCGAAAGTTGAACCCGGAAATCGACGACGGTGTCCACTCATCAAATCATCATGAGTCTGTTCCAGTGCCACGGTTTAGTGATGATGTTGATCATTCACCTGTTGCTGGAGACCAAAGTGTAAATGCGTTGTCTAAGGTTCCTCAGAGATTGTCATTAAAAGATAATGTCAGATCTGCAACTGAAAAGCAGGCTGCAAGTGAGAATCTGATGACTCAGTGTGAACAAGAATTCAAACACAATCAAGGCAAATCATCTTTGTCATCGGTAAAATGTTCCCCACGTGTCCACAAACCCTTTTCATCTTCTTCATTTTCTCCAACTCTTGTTCAGGCACTGAGTCCACTTGCATCAACTGTGCCGCATATGTCCAAACGTGGGGCATCACCTCTCACAGATAGTCCTTACAGATCACCTTTTTCAGATAAGGCTTCTAGCCCGAGATCAAGCCAGGAAGGTCTAAAGGATTCTAAGACCCCAATGGTTAATATGAGGTTTTCAAATATCAACGCTCTGCATCACCATAAAGCATCTACGAACTCCAAAAAAAATGTATCCGAAAAAGATTTAACAGACTCCTGTAACACTAACCACCCACACGCTTTAGCCAGAGTGAACAAACACCATGTACAAACTACTGATGGACGGGTCAAAAAAATTCTTCGAACATCCGAATGCAACATTTTGATACTTTTATCTCGTATTTCTCTCAAACCCCACCCGAACGAATTCCTCGCTGAGACAAGCATAATGAACTGTTTATTGGCATATCTCAGTCGTGCTGCAAACCCCATCAGGCGCTGCAGTAGGATACTGGACCGGCTCTGCGGCAACCCGCTGATATTTGAGAAACTTATTCTTCTGCAAGTACCCGCTCTGCTGGTGAAGTATCTTGTCCTGGAGGAGGACGGCACTTTCCCCACTGTTATGTTCTGCACAGAGTGGGAGAATCAGTTTGGAATACTTCAAAGAAGTAGAATGAATGTCAGCGACCTCTTCCCGTCATCTCAAAGCTCGGATAACACAGGTTCGCCGGCTTCAGAATTAGGTCGGCTAATGGATCTGGAATTTGGGGGCGACGCCTACAGCCGAATGGTGTCCTCAAAGGCCATTTCTGTCAGATCATTTTATAGAGGACGGCCCAGCCTCTCCGTAGAGAGCCAAGCAGCTAGAGATGGCTCCAGCAGTGATGACGTGTATGAGGCTGGATGCAACAGGTCGCAGGTTCGAGTCCAGCTTGGGCTGAAGCTGTTGCACAGCTTGGGTTCAGTGGCCATGTCCAACTTTGGCAGAGGAGAGATTCAACATGCACTGACTCACAGGACACCTCCCGATAGGCTGGCAAGCTTGATCAGCTTACTGTACATTCCTTTCGGCTGGTATGTTCTGTTAAATGATAATCACATTAAATAACTTAAGTTTTTGAATAGTTCCTAAAATTCCACTTGATCATAATGATAACCCCACCCCCCTGTTGATGTGTCTCAAAAAGTGTGTCAATGGATATTGTAAGAAAATCCATTATTGTTTTATAGGAATATAACTATCTTAATGTATCAATTCAGCAGCAGGTATTTCAGGAGTAATTATTTTAAACACCAAAAAAAAAAATTTGTTTCTTTAAAAACTTTCTTCAATATTTAAAATTCATGTTAAAACAGTTAAATTAAATTCAGTAAGTTAACACCACATTGTGGAAGTTGTTCCACCATCTAGTTGCCAATGCTCACATTGTTTTTTTTATCTTTAGTGAACATGCCCCTACCCGCCGGAGTTTCATCCGTCAGTACAATTTGTGGGATCAACTTCTGCCCTGCCTTTTCATCCCGGAAGCACCCAGGGCCAGGGAAGCCATTGTCGCTGGTGTGAGCCTCAACCTACATCTGGAGAGCCCAGCTAAATGTGTGAGACTTGTACCAAAACTTTTCTTAAATCATGAAGCTGCTGGACAAAATCCTCTTTCAGAGGTTGTAACCCTAACATCACATGGGCAGTCCACGTCTGACAATACGAGGGGCAGTACAACAGAGCCAGGTGGTGAAACTCTTGGTTCAGAGAAGGAAGAAAAGCCTGGGGATGGCAAGGGTGGATGTCCCTATGCCAGGAAGTCACATGATGTAACATTTGTGATTCATGAGGACGGCACAACTCACAGGTACAAAGTCAACAAGCAGGACATGGTTCAGAAATCTAGCATATTCGCTGCCATGTTGGCAGGTTCATATATTGAGTCCACCAAGTCTGAGATTGTCATATCCGAGGTGAATCCAGCTGTATTTGAATTTATTGTTCATTACCTGCATGGCTGTTCCATAGGCTGTCGAGTTATAGACTCAATAACTCCAAAATGTGCAGCCTCTGCTGACCATAGGGAAAACAAAAAGCAACAACCAAATGCAATTTTAGAATTTCAGATTTTGGATGATAATGGATGTCAGCAGGTCACGTCCGACATACCGGTACTGGATTCAAACAAAGGAAGCAGAAGTGGGTTACATCGGCAATGTGTTGCGTCTCCTGCTCCCAATGAAGAAGTCCCAGGTGACGCTACACCTGAGGTGAAATTGGATAGAAATTCATTGCATTCCATGAATGACCTGACCCAATCTCAGGAATCCCTTGACAGCCTGACACTTGAAGATAGAAATGATGGCACAGAAACTTCCCAAAGCTACCCTGGAATATTCACGTCTGAAAACCACCTTGAAAATAATGAAACTGAAACAATGTCCCCATCTGAGAGAGGGGCAGATAAATTATTACAACTGGTAAATAAGTGTGCAGACATTCTTGTTGTGGCTGATCAGTTTCTTTTAAGTGATCTTCTGAGTTATGTCTGCTCCATCTTGTCTCATGTCTGCCTTCAGCCCAACACAAGCGAGACCATTTTCCCTCTGGCCTGCTTTTATAAGCTTGATGCACTGGCTGTGGACTGTATGAGAGAAACTCTCCTGTCAAATCTCTCCAGTCAAGAGGCTGCCGCTATTTATGTTGATCTGGGTGCCAGTGGATACAAAGATCAGGCGATAATGGCTCTGTCAAACTTGCTGAACAAGGCATTTAAAGATTAGAGAAGCTTTGTCTGTCTTCTGTATAGAGACAGGGTTACCTAAATGTCTAGTGGATCAAAGATTTGAGGATACCGAGAGGAATGTGTGTGATATATTTAAATAAATAAATATAGAAAATAAAAATCATTTGTAATTTAAATTTAATTTCTGCCTGCTACGTTACTGTTACTTACAGAAATGATCAACGTGGTTAATATTATTATATTTGGTCATCTAAAGAAATCTGAATTACAATTTGGAATTCTTGGTGCTGCTGTTCTGTCATAATTTCTACCCACATTGTTTAATTTAAAACAGTGGTCTTCCACTTCCATATAAGTATAATTAATCAGAATAAAATTGTTCCTATATTTATCAAATCAATTCAGATTTATTTTACTTAAACTTAAATCATTATATATATAAATTTAAATTAATTAATGTTTGTTGCATACTTTTCTTATTGTGCCGTTTTCAGTAACAAATATAATATATAATACATGATCCCATGCCCGTAATGAGTCTGAGTGGCGTATCTGTTTAGGTCCGCCTATGACCTGTGATGCACCCTCCTTGCCCTACCTCATTTTCTGTTTCGGGTTGATCCTGAAGTGTCAAAGTGTCCTCGTTTTATAGCCATTTTCATTGTTTCTATAGAATAGTATTAGAATAGTAGTTACTATCCTAGTGTCTCATTTTTATTTTACTTAGTTCACATGTTTTAATAATTGTAAAGCGCTTAGAGCTTTATGATAAGCGCTATATAAAAATGCCTAAATAAATAAATAAATAAATGGTTAATATAATGTAAAGAACTGTTGATTACAACTTATTCATAATCATATTTTGATTTCATTTGACAAAGGACCTGTACTTTTTTTGACAACAAAATATTGATCATTGATAGAGAAGTAAATAAATTTGCTAAAAATATAATTTATGAAATTATGTGTGCCCGGTAATTAAATTTTAATATGCAGAATATGACAATGGCTGATTACATTATTTCAAGTGTGATTTTTGATGCACCAGTGTAAGTTATAACTACCTATATTATAATGTTTATTAAATATTAATGAGCAAAAGGATTATTCTTACCAAAAACAAATAAAGAGTAAGCCATCGATTGTTTTAAAATGAAAAACGAATGTCAAACATATTTGGACACAAGTTTTTTGACATACCCGGTAGTTGAGATTACATTTGTTGTGGAATTTGTCTAAAGTTTTAGAAGCGGATAGCTTGAACTTAATCTTGATAATTTTTGCACTACCAGACCTGTTTACTCTTAAAATTTTGGCGTACAATTTTGGCGTACAACTTTGAGGTGTAAACATTAAATATACTGTATGTTTAGTTTTTACTATAATTATAAGGTATTGAAAAATTTTGTGATATTGTATGATTTTAAGTTTGAGTGTAAACAGGTCTGCACTGCTACTAGTATGAATCATGTGGTGTTTTTAAAACATTCTATCTTCATTTGGTTTTCTCCAATCCATTGAGAATCAATATGAATAAAGGAAATTATCAAATTGAAAGATGAAAAAAAAGCTTTTTCGTGTAAAAAGTATTAAGGATATTGCTTTAACCACATGTTTAAGTATAATATTAATATGTGATACATCATTCCTATAACTATAAATAGACCAATTTTTCCCATACCTTTAAAATTTTGCTTTTAGCTCAAATGAGAATGCTTTTGTCAAGTGAATATCTGTAGTCAGTTCGATCCCACCCGTTAATATTGCATCATAAATTAGTTTATAATTATATTTTCTCAAATTACCTTACTTCATATTTTAAAAATTAAAAAAAAAAATTATTTCCGTATTCTAAATTAAATCTAGGAATGTTATTGCTAAATTAACACTTAACACACATTTTTTTTTGTCTTGCATTCTGAAAAGAAAACCATGATACTTGGGTATTCATTCACTCATGAAAACAAAAGTCAATAACAGATATGAAACATTTATTCCTCTCACACAATTTTCAATAGAAAGCATATATGCATAAAACACCATTTTGTTATCTTGAAAAAAAAAAACATCACAATGTTGAGAAGAGTGATCCTACAATAACAAGACATCACTGGTCAACTAGATATACATGAACATGCATAACATAAAACTAATTTAATGAACAAACAGATAACTTGAATAAATGAAACAAGATCTATTTCTCAGCAAAAGCTTTAAGATTCTGGAGGAAGCCAATGTACTGTTTGTTCTCATAAGCTGTGCAGAAGTCAACCAGTTGCACAATAAATTCATCATTAATTCCTCTCTCATCCAACATGTCCATCAACAGGTCAAACAGTTCCTGTGGGAAAATTCATTTTGGTCCAGACTGATTAACATTTTAGTATTCTTATGAACAAATAAAGCATTGAAATTTTTTTTTTATTTAGCATTACCACTCTCTAAAAAGAATATTTTGTAATGAATGCTAGTAATTAGTTTCAAGTCATAATCAAACATTGATTTTGTGTACCATGTTTTTCAAATAAAAATTAAAAAGAAAATTCTCAAATTAATTTTACTTACAGCGTCCATTGTTGCTGCGGATACTGAGAAAGTTGTATCTTTCCATTCACCTCCATGGATGGCGACCTCCTGTATCTCAAACTGATCATCTTTACAAAAGTAAAAAGAAAATTTGACTAACAAATTGCATTATAAGACCAAAGATTACAAAATGCGAAATTTATTCGCATGGATAAAAAAAACATGTATATGGGGAGAGAAAGAGTTACTGAGAAAGAAAAAAGAAGTTAAAGTAGTGGTAGCTAATAACTAAATTACAACCAAAATTTTGGAACCTTTATACAGGTTGCAAGCTCCATTTAGATTGGTTAGTTGGGTTTCAAGCAGTCTAGGCAAGCTTTCCGCCTTGACATGAAGTGGCGTAGGCCATAAAGAGGTAAGGCTCTAGCCACCACTTTTGGATTGTAGAAGCAGCAGTTGTTTTTAACCTTTTGTCGTAGGACAATGGAAGCCCATATCATATTAGTTACACCCTTATGACAATCCAGAGTTAAATAATCTTCTTAAAAGAAATGCATCATGCAATTGAAACCAAAAAAGAAAAAAAAAAATCAAACCTATTTGTTCTGCTTGTTGTCCTTTAGCATATTGGCTGGCATCCTCAAAATCATGTTCTTGGGCGGGGAAGGAACACTGTAAAGCAAATACTGTACCATCTCCTTTACTTATTTCTACTTCAAAAGGTGGCCTGCAGATCATCTAAAAATATAATTTTACACCAATGCACTAACAACCAAATAGAATTTTTAATCTTAAATAAATTTACCCTATTACACTAATATTGTAGATCCTACATCATTATTTAAATATGCTAGTAACCATGCATTAAATTGTCAAATTAAGCCCATGTAGACAAGTCATAACCGCTTGCAACAGCCTGGCTAATGCATTCTTTAAGTAGGTAGGTACATTTTTTGGAATTAGTCAAAACGATTAGATTGTACAAACATTTTTATGTGTTACATCAAAATAAAACATACTAAGGGATATGCTAAAGTAATATTAAAAAATACAGCTTACAACTGAATGGCCATGCCCCAACAAAATATAAGTAAGTAGGTACCATTTTCCTTAAACTTCCTTTATACAGCTGCAACAAGCGAGCAATAGACTAAAGAAAAAAGAGTAATTAAGAACTTACTTGTGGTGGTTCATCTTCCTTTTCTGTTGGGCTGTCTGACATGATCGAGTCAACTGATCCATTAACACTTAATCGCACTACAATCCTGTAATATATGGATTAAATCTTGTGAAGACTAATAAATAGTAACAAAATGGCACAAAAACCTATGGCTTAATTGTCAACATAAACTTTAAATTCAAAGCTCTAATTTGAAAGGTTAGTATACTAAAAGAAGTTTTTATTTTCCCATGTCAAACTTGTATGCATTTTTCTGTAGCGACATGCCGTTTTTAGCATTTTCATATGCTTTTCTAAATGAATTAAGAGACCTTTATAAGTATTCATTTTCTAAAAGTGCATTGGATAAGGTATCTTATGGTATGAATAGAATTTGTTTTTTTATTATGTTTGTTGACATTGACCTTTATAGAGCGAGTAAAATTTTACTACTCAACTTTTGCATTCAACCAATCTAATATGCCATAAATTGTTCAAACTAACATAAAATCAAGTTTTTTGTGACACTAGAGGTCAACATTCTTTCAGAAAATATCAAGTTGTTGGTACTTATAAAGTTATATTGAAAATTGTAATATTGGTGTTTATTGTTTATTCACTAGCTTCTAATTTCTGTCATATAAAAAATACAAAGAGAAAGCACAAAATGAATTTAAAAATTAAATTTTACATGAAGTTATTGAATGCATTTTTAAAAATTTAAACAATACTCCAGAACATATACAGACATAAATGTCTTTGAATCTCTTTAGGGTAGGTCCTTAGGGTACAATCTTTGTCTTTTCTGTTTGATTGCAAACCTTTCCCAAATGAACTTGTCTGAAAATTGTCAATATTTTATTCTTGTGTTGCCATCACAGCTGGAGTTAATACTGTCATTATTAATATTACTAGCACATTGAATATGCTGAAATCATTTTAATCCATTTGAAATAATGCTAATAAAAAAAGTCTGATTTTGCAATCTAGAGGGGGACTCTGTCCAGCATCAGTCAGAATGCCAGTAAAAAAAAATTTGAGTTAAATTTCACACCTGCATAATCATAAAAACAAGCCTAAATAAAAGGATGCTAATTTTTGTTAACACACAGACAGAAATAGGAAGCAAACTAATCTATATAGAGTGATTTCCCCATAACAAATATTTTGCATTTTTAATGACAATTTTGCCAGCTGCCGATAATATCAGCTGTGATACCACTAAAGGGATATAACGGCTGATAATTGACTTTGACTGTTTTAGGGTTAAAAGAACTGCACCATAATAGAATTAGAGCTGTTAGTGTTGTTGTAAACAAATATATCACATGCTAAATTTCGTGGAGAGAGTTCTTCACAAAAAATAAGCTAAAATTTGGTACAGATTGGTACCAAGAAAAATATATATACTATCAAATTTAAAGACATGAATAATTTCTTAAAATAACTGAGACATTTTAAAATCTAATATACAAATCTGTTGGCTACAAAATGTTCATAAATATCATACTTTTCTTTCCCAGAAAGTTTTGTTAAAGTTACATCCCCTCCATCTGTCTGGATTTCAAAACCAGGAATGGCTGGCAAACTGCTGGTGGCCCTAGACTTTTCATAGCTTATTTCTTTGTCAAGAAATTTGGAAATCTCTTTATCAACTGCAATAAAAAAAAAAAAATACTGAAAAATTATAAACAAGATACCCCAACAATTAATGAAAAGATTACAGTTTGTTTATGAATTCATAAACTTTAGACCCAAGATTCACTGACAAGCTGTTCAACACAACCTTGGTCAATGAAAAGACTTTCTTACAAATCATAAAGTAAAGGTTCTCACCCATGAACTGCTCATCGTCAACGTTTTGCATCAAATGCACTCACGGAAAATAAAAATCACTTTGTAAGTTGCTTCTTTCATGCCAGTACTAATGCTGAACTGACCTTCAGCCTTAAGAAAACAGACATCTTTTTGCAAGTAGTAGACTCTCCCTTCTAATACATTCCTTATCATGATTTTTATCTGACATTTGGATATAACCCTTGGTAGACTCACATAACCGTGGACGGCTTTAGAGTGCCCCCAATGTCAGGCTGACACAAGCTGGAACTAGTAGGGACTTTGCTGACTAAGTGTTTTAATGGGTGCCCTATTTCTCACGCAGAAAAAAAAATAAAGTGCTGGGTCGAATGATGTTCTCCTGTTAACAGTTTTGGGTCTGGTAGGCTCAGTGGTCCTCTCCAATGCTCATTGTAGACTGTGCAAATTTGTCTGTAGGTTCAATAGGCTATGTACTCACTTGTCAGTGAGTTCACTTGTCATGTGTTTGGATGTCTTGTAGTCAGTAGTCATGGATTCACATGTCATGTGTTCAGATGTCTGGGAAGGATTCACTGCATTGGTAAGAGATTGAATTCTAATCCCCACTCCCCTCAAGGCTTCAAGGGCCATCCATAAATCATAAATGGTATTCCAAACACACTGAGGGTAGGATGCAATGCTGAGTATCAGTGTCAGTATATTACAAATATCGGCCAAAGATTGTCAATATACAAAGTTGGAAATCCATTGGAAAGGAGAAGAAACGCTCGCATATCATTACCATTATAAAAATTTATGAGAGTCAGTGTAGGGGTAGAGAAGGGCTGAGGTTCCACCATCAGTTAATACCGATGTCTCTCAATCACAATCTGACTTAATTAATTTTTTTTTAACCATACTTTAACCATTTGAGTATTGCTTTTGGTTTGAGACTGTAAAAATACCTGGCCACACATCAGCTGAATAGACAATTATTAACAAACTTATTCGTCTACAGATTTGTTAAAATACATGTTTTGGTCAATTTACGCTCTCCATGCCATGGCTTGTGTCTGTGGATTGTTTTTGTTGAGCTTGTTGTTACTAAGAGTTGACTTTTCTTAATAAGATGGAATGTTTTAAATAATAACTTCATTGGTTGGTTAATTATATTTAAATTTTATGGCATTTTGGAAAATGTGGTTTAATTATTTTATTGTATTGACCGTATTGATTTTCTGACAACTTTTTGGTTTTCATTTTAGTGGAACCTGAAATAAAGTGTGTAGAAGTGTATTCTATGAAACTGTAATTTAGGTTTACATAATTTTACAATTATTTTGTATTGGTTTTCTTCATTTTTTAGTTTTCTTACCACAGTGTGTAACTGTAGCCGCACACACATCTTTTAGTTGAGGGTTAGTCTAGTGTTAGATTTAGGGTTGGTAATTGGGTTTAGGATTATTATAGCATACATCATTTTTTTTTTACAATTTACATGGCCGACATCTTGGTTGCATGACCTTTCACAGGTCATGACAATCAAGATGGTGGCCAAGGCGGGGAGAACGTAAATTTACCCATGTTTTATAATTAATCATTTATATTCCTATAAAATTATAAAACCAACAAAAATACATGACAAACTAATTGGAAAATCATAATCATTGAAGTGTTTTAATGTTCTTCCATCAGGTAAGTTTTAAAAAAATTCATTTCACTAGAAATATTTTATTGGGTTAAAATAAGGGATTATCTGCATTTTTTGTCTGTGACTGTGGCACTAATCTAGTAAGTTAATCTAGGCGGCCAGTCTAGGCACTTTGAAAACACTTAAACTTAAAACAGTCTAAGTCTAAGATACGCCCAATTACCATTATATTGATCATATTCACATACATTTTAAGAAGTAACTCCTGTCAATACATACCCTCTGTACTGTAAGTGGCAACTGATGTTTTCATGCAGGCCATACATTTACAACTTTTAGTGTGTAATATTGACCTCGATAAAGCAGACAACGTGCAATGCGTCCTTGATGCCGCTGGCGTGAAGACAGAATCGTTGAATTTTGATACGTATTGTCTCAGACCACGTCCAGAATGCTTCTGTGCAGTAAAAACAACTGTGCTTCCATTGGACAGAATTTTGGAAGTAGCATTGATGGCAAGTTTTAAAGCCTTAGCCATGTTTTTTTTTTTATTTGAGAGATTCTGGATTAATCCAACGACAATGTGCTCAGAAAGATATTGCATGTGATTTGACCTTCCAAAGGGACACTATTTAGTTTGCTTCCAGGTCATTCGGTTGGGGAGTGTCTATTGATAATATTGGATTTAGTCTCGGCTCATGATAATAATTACACTGAAATATAATTTCGTCTTGCAACTGCTAGTTCTTATTTAACTGTGTTAACTAAATTTATACATGTGCCTTAATTTATTTTACATAATTTTTCTATCCTTCTCTTAGCTAAAATTAAGAAGTTAAAGTAAATTCTTTAAATAATTTTAAATTAGGCCCAAATAAAAGGAATTATAATTATTGAAAGTTATGACGGTTTATACTAACCTAATATTTTAATGCATATTTTCATTTTAGATTGTTACTAAAGTGCGGGGATTCTGCCCTGTGCACATATGTCAAAATATGTGGACTGTTGGAATGCATACAAAAGATTTGGTCTGATTTGTTGAAGAAAATTCATACCGGTAAACGTTATTTCAAATTTCATTTATCAAATGTATTTCCTAGACTTTTTTTTTGTTTTGTTTATCTTTTTAAAAAAAACTAACAAGGCAAGGCTCTTCGCCTTGATCGATTTTTGTAAGGAAAGTTTCACATTTGCGTCCCCCACATTAATTTGACAGTGGAACAAAACGTTTCTTACCACTGTTAACTGCATATATCATACATGATATGCAATAATTGAAACATTATAAGTCCTTTTTGTCTAATTCTTAACAAGAATTGCAGTGTTAGTAATTGTTCTTACCCTATATTTCATTATTTATATACAATTTAAATTAAGCTATTATTAGCTTTAGACATGAATGACATGATTCATATTTTATTAATATGGCATTAAATGACTTAATTTTAAGTGTTTTTAAAATTAAAAGCGGCTGAGATCTTCTTAGTCTTAGGGGTCGTTCATTAATTATGTCAACTAAATAAGTGGGGGGGGGGGGGGTGGGTGGAATTGTTTGACGAGGGGTGACGAGGGGGGTGGGAAGAGGGTAATATTAGTTGGCGTCAACAGTCATGTTTTCTCTATTAGAATTTTAATCTTTTAATTGACTGACTATTACATTATTTTAACAAATTTAATGAGTGTAAATTAAAATAGCTATAAAATTTTCAAGCTTTTAACAATATAAGATTTATTTAATGTGTGTCTGTCTGTGCACTACTGATGGCTGGTCAGAATGTCAGCACATTTTGTTAGTGCAAGAGAAGTCAAAAGTTGACCTCTCTTCGCCTGTAGATTCTGATTGTCGCAAGAGACTAGAGCGGTATCTTTGCAATCATGTTGCAGGTATGGGACGAGGACAAGGTTTAAGTGGCATGTGCAGTCAAGATAAATGGTATTGATAGAGTAGGAATACGATATATTGAGAATTAGGGGAAAGTTAAGTGAGTAACAATAATAACATCGCTGCTTGAACGGATTTTCAAAATCTGTAACATCTATTTTGCATCAAAAGGCATGTTGAAAAAGCATGTTCAATAGCACCGACAATAACAATGCACTCTTGAGCATAAGAAATTATCACCTGCTCCTAACAGAAAAAAATTCGACTAATGCTTATGTCCATTATTGCTCACAATGACGATGCTTCTATTTTAATTTAAGTGCTGGATGCTTAGATGAGGAGGATGTTGACTTGTTTGGTATATCAGTTCCGCAAGATGAAAATGGTAAATCAGCTACTATGGCCATTGTTCGGATAGAACAACACCTGGCTACCCCTGTGAAGATGACAGCAGCTAGAAACTAAGCTTACGATACTCAGCTATACTGACAATAATCATATTTTTCTACTTCCACAAACAATTATTTAGTCTTTAATAACCTTTTCAATGATTCTGCATTATAAAATTTAAGCGTAAATACTTTTTAACTTGTTGATTAATAAGCTAAAATGTAAAAACATGTTTTTCCTACAATTTTGATTTATTAAAATTAAAATAGATCAGCATAAAGTAAAACGTATTTATTTATATTATAATTCATTTTTGGGGGGAGGTGGGTTTATACAAATGTTGACATAATTACTTAGGGAAAGGGGGGGGGGGGGCATTAAAATTTTGAAGGTTTTTGAAGTGAGTAGCATCGGGAGGGGGGGGGGGTGGATTGCTTTAAAATTGTTGTCGTAATTAATGGACGCCCCCATAGTTGTATAATAAATTATAATTAGTTTTTTAAGGCATAATTTAAGGCCGAAATCAGTGAGAATCGTTGACAACATGGTAGACTATATATTAACTATTATTTTACTCAAGCTGGAAACTTTCACTTAACACTTTATATCTACATAAAGCTGAGTAAAAAAACAACAAAGAAACAAACTTCTATCCTCATGACTTTTTCCTCCAGTACTGTGTAAACGGAACTCAATAACTTTAATGAAACTTTGTCAAAGTGTTGATTTAAAGTTAAAGTTGTCTTTGTCAAGACGGGCGTTATTTATTTTACTTCGTAATTTTAAATGCAGGAATCGTTATTACTACCAGTGCTAACATAATTAATAGAATAATTAATAATTATGTTTAATTGCATCTAAATTACTAACAATTTCATCACCAGAGTCCTCCATAATAAAATGGCTATTGACCAGATAAAAAGTCAAAATTAGAGAAACATCAGAATTAAAAGAAGCTAATTTCATTAAAAACTAAAAAGATGCGATTTGTGCTAAAATGTGGCTTATGAATGGGAGATAATTCATGCATTGATTTATTAATTTAAAAAAAAAAAAAATCAATCATGAAACAGTTTTGTTTAACTTTAAATTTTTTGTTTCAGGCAGAGATTTTCATGCTGTTGTACAGTTTATTTGCTGTTGACTTTATGCTTCCACAGGTTTTGGCATGCGTGTATTATATAGCTCAGTGTTCCTTTACTTTCACACCTAAATATCTGAATAACAATTCCGCCTGTGGCCTATTCGGTTGTCTTATTCTAGCTCTAGTATTTTCTATTATTTTACCACCACTGGAGTACTTGATCTCAGAAAATGCCATCTAGGTTAGAGGTTTGATGTAAATCTGTAAATTAAAATCTTGCAATTTTTAATAAGATGATTTTATTAAATTTGTAATGTAACATATTAACATATATTTTCAATTTCCTGCACGCTTATCTTTTCTTTTACTTATTTGACGATTACAGGAATACCTCTAGTGTTGGCAGCATGCTAGAAACACTAGGCGGGTCACCATTGGAGAAACGATGACGACAATCCAGGCTCTCCATGATGTACAAGATAAATAATGGGCTGGTCCACTGTTCCAGTATTAAACAGAAACTCGTCCCTCTCCCCCATAGACAGCGACGAGGCCATGACAGGCAATTCATGCTCCTACCAGCAAGAAGCCAGTATAGGAGCTGCTCATTCCTGCCCAAGACAGTCAGGGACTGGAACAATCTTTCAAAAGGAACGGTTGAGGCGACAACACTAGACACATTTGTGTCTATTGCCTCCAGCCTTTAAACTCCTAGTGCATGATTTCCTCATCAACACCAGTAACAGAAACATTGCAAATCCCATCTACATGCATAGGAGCCAAAATGATCAATAAATTGATCGTGGGCCCTTAAGATATAGAAGAAGAAGAATTGTGGGATCTCTATTGAGATATACTGGTATTCATGTTACTTTCCCAGTATAGCTGATGCCCTCATTAGTCCTCTCCATTTTCCTGTATGCCTGCGAATCCTGGACATTAACAGCAGATCTTGAAAGGAAAATAAAGGCGATGGAGATGAGATGCTTCAGAAGCATTTTTGGCATCTGCTATAGTGACCATATCTCCAATGATACAGTGAAAGAAAGGGTTCGTCAGGCGATTGGGGAGTACGATGACCTACTGGTGACTGAAAAAACGCAAACTACAATGGTACGGCCACGTGACAAGGAAACAAAGGCTTGCCAAAGAAATATTGCAGGGCACCACAAGAGGAGGGAGAAGAAGAGGAAGACAAAGAAAAAAAGATGGGAGGATAACATCAAAGAGTGGACAGGACTAACACTGGGCAATGCTGTGCCTAGTGCAGAAGACAGAGACGAATGGAGGAGGATAGTTCACATGTCATCTGTGGCGCCCCAATGGTCCAAGGACTATGGGACATGATGATGATGAGTTCCACTGTCATGGATTCTAAACAAGGATAATACTTCACACAAGCTTGAGCAATAATTATTAATTGGTTGAATGAACAAATTGAATAAACAAAATGTGTAACACAGAAAAAATATTCTCAACACTGACACGGACATACAATTTTCAAAATTATTACAAATTTTATTTCAAAGAATACACGCTCATAAAAAACATATTTGATGCATCTTTAAAAGGTCACATATATTCATAAACATTTACAAATTGATTTTTCCCTCTTATTTTTTAAATAATTAAAGTAAGTAACATTGCAAATCAAAAGAAATTTCTATGTACCGTTATCAATAAGCCCTTTATATAAATTATATAATATAAGATAGTTTCTTAATTCATCTAATTTAATGGAAATGGTTTTTTTTTAAATTACATTATACATATTCAATTTAAGCAAATAGATACAAAAATATTCTAACCAAGAAACATTTTAAAACTAGAACAATTTAAATACAAGTTATCTTAAGTATTTCTCCAGCCTAAATCTCAGCCATTATATACCATAAAACCACACTCCCTTAGTGGCCTTGGTGACAATCACTAACTTAGTGATCTGTTAGATTTTTTAACCGCTCTGGTGACATAAATTCATTTACAGGTGTCTTTATGTTAAATAATAATAATACAACACTCAACAAATTTGAGCCAGTGAGAAGCTTCTTGAAAACATAAACATGAAATGTTGAGATTGGCATAAGTTAGCATTAAAGAAAACTGAACTATACATTTTTAGTCACAGGTTCATTCATAATTTCATTGAGTACCGGTACCCTTTAATTGGTTTAAGAGTCTAGAGTGCCGCCAGGGCTTTTGTATGTATCTAGAGCATTTGAGTGTATCTGCACAAGATTCAGATTCAGTGCCCATGCTGCCAGGAGTCAA